TTGAGACAGGGTCTTGCTGTGTGGTTCAGATTGGCCTTGAACTCACTGTGTAACCTAGGCTGGCCTCGAACTTGAAGCAATCCTCCTGCCTCAGCCTCCCAAGTGCTGGGATTACAGGCATGAGCCACCATGCCTGGCTCTAATGTGTATTTTGAAATTCAGTGAAATCTAGTGTGCAGCATATCATGCTTAGTAGAATCTTAAATAATACGGCACTATTAAATAATATTTTACTGAATCTTATACTTTATTCTTCTAGAATATTAATAGAAATAAGGACATTATGAAGATTGGTTGCTCACTGTCTAAAGTTTGTCCCTATGCCAATTCAGTTTTTGGAAATCTTGATCCAAAGAAGGTGAGCCATATTCTTGGTTATAATTTATAAAAACAGCAAGACCAGTGAGATACCAAGTATGTCATACAAAAAGGCCAGAAAAGCAAAACACATTTTCTGTCAGTGTGATACGTGTGTGTGGAATGTGCTGTTGTCATGTGTGAAGATTGCCTTGAAATAAAGATTATTTTTGTTGTGAAGTTCTATTGGTATTTTCATTGTAGTTCATATAGGAATTTATTTCTGTTGTTATTTTAGACTTTTTACACCAAAAAACAGTTGATGTTGGAAAATTTTGATGCTTTTTTATAAACACTCAAATACTAAAATTTCAATACTTTATATTTTATTTTTTCCTGTTAGTCATTGTTTAATGTAAAACTCAAAATTAAAATTAATAATTCATCAATAGAAATATTCTAAGTAATAAATGTGAATATTATATACCCATGTTTCTGTGCCTTTAAGACAAAGTTGGCGTTATGCCCCTAACTGGTTAAGTGGTTAAAGTGATTATTATCAGCCTAGACTGATTTTTGTATTCTCACACTCTGACTCCCAGGAGATATTTGACATTGTGTGGAGACATTGTTGATTGTCACAACTGGAAGTATCACAGCTGGTATCTAGTGGATGAAGTCCAGAAGATGCTGGCATATTCTGCATTGTGTAGGACAGAGGGGAGCCCTCTTGTCTTCTCCAAAGAATCATCCAGTCAAAAATGTCATAGGTGGGCCAGGGATTTAGCTCAGTGGTGCTGTGCCTGTCTCACAAGTGCAAGGTCCTGAGTTAAGTCCCCAGGACCAGAAAAAAAAAATGTCAGAGGTGCTGAGGTTCACTAAATGATTGTGAATATGTACTCTGCTTGACGTATTCATTCCAGTCAGCCCTTTGGAATTTTCTCTTTCTTTGGTATCTTTGAGAATTTTTTTGAGTACTCGTGTGGTGGTTATGACTTTCTTAAGGTGTTCTTTGACATGGAATGCCCCTATTTCTCCAATTTTGAAATAGTGTTTTGTAGGTTATATTAGTCTGGGTTGAAAGTTGTTTTTTTTATCCTGATATACTTCAGATTCTCCTAGCCTTTTAAGTTTTGTGTTGGCAAGTCTGTTGTATTCCCAATGAGTTTACCTTTATAAGTGATTTGTTGCTATTCTCTTAACAGCTTTTAAGAGTCTGTCCTTGCATTGGACATCTGGGATTTAACTGGAATGTGTTATGGAGAAATTCTTTTCTGGTTGTGGTTATTTTAGGTTCTATATGCCTTCCTTAACTGTATGTTGAATTCTTTTTTTTTTTTTTTTTAAATTCTTTTATTGGTACATTGTAGGTATACAACACAATTACATTTCTCATTGGGAATTGTACCTTTATATAATGCATCTTGGTTCTTATTT